GTCATCCTTGACCCCTCTTCTTTCTCTCACACCCTGAATTTAATCTATCCCCTGCCTCATGAGCTCTAACTACCACAAAAACTTGACAATTTACCACCACCACTGCTAAAACTGCTCTGAGTTACTGCCATCTCTCAGCTTGGTCATGAACTAGACTCCCAACTCACCTCCCTGTGATCACCTTGACCTTGTTACTATCTTCCTGCATAGCACATAGCAGCCAGGCTGAGCCTGTGTTAAAACTCCGCATTGACTTCCACCTCTCTCCAACAAGAAACCATAGTTTCCCCAAATGTACGTAAGTCCCTACATGAGGTAATGCTGAATGTCCACCCTCATTTCACCAGTATGTCCCTTTCCACATACTTTACCATCTCTCCCAGTCCATTCTGCCCCAGTAACACTGGCCACCCCAATCTGATTGAACTATTACAGGCACACTCCCACGGCATTCCTTTTGCACTGACTTCTGCCTAAAACCTTCCCAGACATCCATTTTGTTCAATCCTTCACCTTCTTTATGTCTTCATTTCAATACCTTTATTTCTCATCCCACATTATTTAATTTGCAGCCCTCTCACCTCACCCTCTTCTTTCCACAGAACTCCTATTCCCTCTTCCAGCTTTATTTTCTCCATGGCACTTAACACCAGTTATCATATACTGTTTCGGGTTTTTAATTGCTTTTCTATGTTTATCTGTCTTTATTCTGTTTATTTTTTGTGATTCTCCTCACTAGAAAGTACCCCATGTGAGCAGGAAATTTTTATTTGTTTTTTTTTCACCAATATTTTCCCATTTCCTAGAACAGAACCTGGCATATAATAGGTGATCTGTCATTATTTGTTGAATAAACAAATAAAATGAAAAACTACAACACATGTGATAAAATATTCAATGACAGTACAAAATACAAACTATTAGGACATGCAACTCCTAGATACAGTAATCTATTGATAACTCATCATTCTGGTCCAAAAGGGACACCCATAGTTATAAGCTTTACATCTCTAGACAGTATGCAAAGGTTTTGCAATAATTCTGGCCATCTTAGTTGGAGAAAAGGAAAAAGCTTTGGACAAAACTAGCATTCTGCAATTGAGAACATAATCAGTTTCTCATATTAAAAATGAATTCTCCAGAAATTCATATTTTAAAATATTTGATTTCTTTTCAGAGGTTGTCTTTTCAAGGAGTAAAGTTAATAGTAGCTTTTACTGCACTATCAAAATAATCCTACAGTTAACTGATTATATGTGTATATCCACTTTGTGCCAAAATGCAATATAGCCATCACATTAAATATAATTTTATGTATACTTATCAGGACAACAAAAGCACCTCTCTAAAGACTAATTATGAAGTTCCCTTCTGGGATAAGGTGTTGATAAAAAAAGATGAAGCTTTTCAAAACACACATTCAGCACACACACACACACACACACACACACACACACAAACCCCCTCCAGCTCCCATGATGATAATGGTGATGGTAGTCTTGATGATAGATTTTTCTTTGTTTCACATTCTCCCTCATCTCTACTGATTAAGCCATAGCTATCATAAACACTCTAGAGTTTACATGCCTTTTTTCATTTTTCATGATCCTGTTGCTTTCCTTTAAATGCCCCAATCTGCCTCTTTCCCATATGAAATATGGTACTCAGAATGAAGCACAATAGTCCAGGAGTTTTTGACCAACCAAGTAGGAAAAAACAAGTTACCATGTTCGTGTTCCTTGTTCTGAAGATGCTATTACTATAAATGCTAATTGTCAGGGTATCATTTAATAAGGTTAAAACGCAGCCCCCACTCCTTACCCAGCTGACAAGTTTGGGAGGCTTGAATAGATAAGGGGAACTGGGCCATAAAACTGACCAAAAAGACTAGAAAAACCAGCCAAGCTCCAGGAATGCAGAAGCAGGGTTAGAACACATCTTGTGTCAAAGGCCAGCACCTAGACCAGCCATTCAGGCAAATAACTGGTGCAAACTGGTGCCCCAAGTAAGAAATCTTGAAAAAAAGAGTATAAAAGAGAGCCTCAAATCCTTTCCACGCAGGTATGTATCTCCTGTCTCACTTCTGTTCCCTTCCTGGGTATTTCAATAAATCTGCCTTTTGTGTTTTCCACTGTGTCTCTAGTGAATTCTTTCACTCTCTAACTTCTACCTCTCCCCACCCCAATCCCCCATGTTACACTACAGTGATTAAGATTATAAGTGCTTGGGCCTCCCTGATGGTGCTGGGGTTAAAGACAGCACTATCAAGCTGTCGCCTGCCTCGCCTGCTGCTCCCCTCAGCAGTGTATTTCAGTACATCTGCCTGTTCTGCTCCCCCCTCTCTCTGGTGAATCCTCTCACCCACCCCCCGCACCTCTGGCCTGTACCCCAGTTCTTGTATGCATAAATAAATCTTTAAAAAAAAAGATTATAACTGCTTTTTGAAGAACCCAAAGCTCAAATGGTAACTCAGCCGAGTTACAAACTGTAAAAAAAAAATGGAGAGATCTTTCTGTTTTAAAGCTCATGTTTTTTTCATTATTCACATGACCTCCTTTCCCTCTGTGTGGCTTGGTTCAGAGAAACCCCTTCAGTTTTTATTTAATTAAATAATGCCAGGGTGAAGAAACTATTATATATTAAATTAAAGCTTAAGCATTGAATTTACAGAGGGCTGCATTTAAATAGGAATTTCCCCAATACAGTAAAGCATGTCCTTATAGTGTACTAACCACTAATATTTTTGTTGGGAAAACAATGAACAAATGAAACAAAAGGACTGAAATTTATAATGAAGAGTTGCTTAATTGTGTATTCATCATGTTCATTCAAAGTCCTTCACAGATGAAAAAAAAAAAAAAACAGAATTACATGCTGAAGGTGGAGTAAGGAAGAAACATGTTTCCTACCCTAATCTGATTAAGAATGAATGTGAGGGTAGTAGTTAAATAATACAGTTTCCCAGGACCTATACAAGACCCTCTAAATCAGACCCAGGGAAGGGTACAGACAATATATTTATTAACAAGCACTCCCACTGATTCTTATTTTCAATAAAGTTTGGAAAACTTTGATATAGTGAGCATTCAAGGAAAAAGGAAAACATATGCAAAAGTATGAACATATGAAAGAACCAGAAGGTATGTTCAGGAAAAGGTCGCGGAGTAGAGAGCCTGAAGGGATATGATTATTGTTGAGGCTGGAGATTGTGAAAAGTTTTCCCAATAAAGCTTTCTTTTACTGAGCTAATGAGTATTGTGGATGATGGAGAAACAGTAAAGCTCTTTGGCAAGGAAGTGAGTTATGGGGGAGGAAATAATGAAAAGTAGAGGTTTGAGAGAAACTTCTGAGGCATAAATGGTAGCGTTAATGGTTATTTCCATGAAAGAAGTAAGAAAGGAGAATATGAGGTTTCTAATGTGGTAGACTGTCTTTGTTAGGGAGGGAATAATATGACTTGAGTTTTACATGACAATGGCCTCAAGTGAATATATCTATCATAGAGATGGAATAGAACTCTAGTTAGGAGAAAGTTCTCATGGCTGAGAGCAAGGGTAAGAGTGTCTCATTGGAACCAGGAAATTTTGCTTGCATGAGGATGCAAATTAATAAAGAGACTAAGGACAGATAGGTTTAAGCAGCACCTAAAGGACAATTTAACAAAGGAAACAGAGATGGAAGAGCTCTAGTAACTGCAGTCTTGACTACTCTAATCATCTAATTCCTACACACCCAGTTTAATGAACTGAAAAATTAAAAAAAAAATGCCTTTATGATTGGTCTGATAAAATATATATTTGCCACCTATCTTGACATTCAAATACTTAGCAAAATTCGAGAAAAACCTGTTTTTGATTCAATCAGCTAAACTAAACACACAAAATTCAGGTAACCCGCTGATTTTTAGATTCAAAAACACCAGAGATCTTGATACTTGATTTTAGTCCTAACTTTTCCACTAATTTGGGCAAATTATTTCACTTTTATGGTGTTTCCTCAGCTTAAAAAAAAAAAAAAGCTATGGAGACTGGGATAGTTAGGTGATCTTAGGTTGCTCCCAGCTGTAAAATCCTTTTTTCCAGATACCCGAGCAAATCTGAGCTGGGAATCTTAAACAGATTTATTCAACAGTAAATACTGAGGTAAATTTCCCAATCACATCTTCCTCTTAGATTTGGAAATCTCTAAAATTATATACTAAGCACTGTATACTTGTCCAGTTGCTGTCATGAGTAGTGTTGTCATTTATCCACTGAGTCGTGTCTGGTCTCACATCAGTGGAATGGCATCCATTTGTACCCCACCTAGAAGAACTTCCTTCCTTACTCCTTTTCAAGTGGCTCATAAGGCACAGGAAACTTCCCTACCTCCCCGTGGAATCACCATAAGCTCTCTAGACTTGAGGCACCCTCTGCGGTTCAGTACACGCTCCGGAGCTAAAGAATTACTCCTCCCCCACCCCCATCAGAATCTTTTCTAAGAAAACAAGTAAAAAAAAAAAAAAAACAAAACAAACCTTTACTTTTTAAAAAGACTAATTACTCCCTTGCAAGGAACATTGAACTATATAATCAAGTAACACTGATGTCTACGAATCAGGAGTTGAACAGCCACATTACCTCCACTTGATTCTCACAAACACTTGTGTCTTCCTACACGAAGAGAACCCCAGCACACAATTTTCCACTAAGTCAAACTGAGAATATCCTTAAGAACTAGGCGACAGGAGTGCTGCCTGGGGGAAAAGACGATCAGAACAATTCAGCCCTCTCTGTCCCGCCTCACTTACTGCCTGCAAAGCCTGTTTTCAGGGCTTAGCCATACAGCCACCTGACCAACTCCGGTCCCCGCCCTGCTCCCAGCTGCAGGCCCCGCCCTCCTCCCAGCTGCAGACCCCGCCCCAGCTGCAGGCCCCGCCCCAGCTGCAGACCCCGCCCCCAGCTGCAGACCCCGCCCGGAGTCCGCCAGACTCCCAGCAGGCGCCGCGCGCGCGACGTCGCCCCGCCCAGCCGGCTCCGCCTCCACCTAGTCCCACGCGACGTAGGGAGATGGCGGAGTTGGACATAGGGCAGCACTGCCAGGTGGAGCACTGCCGGCAGAAAGGTGATCGAGTCCCCAGTTCCCCCCCACCCCCGAGCAGAGCCGGACCTCGCTCTATCCCCACGAATGTTGGCGGCGGGTGAGGGGCGGCAGAGTGTGGGCGGGTGGAGTCTGAGGAGGCGGGGCGGGCGCAGCCCTTCTGCATTGGCTGTGACTTTCTTTGCTGCTTTTTTGTTGCCCCTGAGTTTGGAAGAGGCTTGTGGTCTCCTTGAAGGAAAACCAGGGGATTTCTGAAAACTTTGCAGTTTTGCAGTGTTCACTTTAGTTTGCGAATGCACTTTACCACGAAGTTGCGTCGCTCTCACCCCTCTCTATGAGCAGGACGAGTTGCCTTTTAATCCTGCCACTGCGACTTTGGGAAAACGAATTCTTTTTCTCAAACTTTTTGTTTTCTTATTTGTTATTTGTCAGACCGAGAAGTTGGGCGAGATCAGTTTTTAACCCGGAATTTGCGGGTTTTTCAGGTTACAAGCCTCTAGTGAGAAGGCTCTTAGCTTTTATGAGATTCTCAAAGGGATTCTGAACCTCAAACTATTCTGCCAGTTGATCATTACCCTCTTTAGCTTTGTTATTCTTTGATCCTGGTATCACTAGCATAGATTCAGCAGACATTTAACCGAACATTATTTTCGTGCTGGGACTACAGAGAAGTATAAAATAATGGTCTTTTCTATAGGAATACTTGCAGACCAGTAACCGCATTTTAGGATATGTTTTCTCTCCATTGAACTGAGTAAAACCTTGTGATACACATGACCCAAACCCATAGTCAGTGGATATGTGGTTATAAGGCTTTACTATGTCATACATCTGAAATGGGCAAGATCCTGAAGCATTGGAGCCACACGGAATGCTCATTCTCAGATTCCTGAGTTTCATCCCAAATGTGTGCTATCACATTTGGCTCATACTACATAGAGTGGTAAATAGGTTTTATCTCCCAGTGCAGCTTCAGTCATTGGGAAGAGGTACCTGAATCACCATTAAGAAGGTCTCCGAGATTTGACCCAGTTTTAACTGATTAGTGGATGCCTGCTATGGGAGTGGGCAGAAGGACACCATCCCTGCTAGACTCTTGTTATTTATAGCATTTTACTTCAAATGCAGGATTTTGCAGTGTACAGTCCTCCAATACAACACCTAGTAAATCTGGGGAACAAAAACCAGCAAACAAATCTACAGGACTTCTTTGTGTTATTTAACATGCTATTACAAATAACATTTACCTCCTGATAATTTAGCCACTTTTTTTTTGATACTGATTGAGGATGTGATGACTTTTTTTAAACCACTGTTTGCTGTGCTAAAATATTGATGCAGAAGAAAAAAATTCTCTTGTGGAGGTGTTTCTGTACTTTGTGATTCTTTTTGCTAAGAAAACTAAAAATCAGATACTGACCAGTTCATAACATTTTCCCCTCAATTTTAGATTTTCTTCCATTTATATGTGATGGTTGTTCAGGAATATTTTGGTAAGTTAAGTTTTTATGCGGGATTTGGAAGTAATTTTAGTGTTTGTAATAATTTATTTCTGAAAAGCAGAATAATTTAAAATAGTGATAACTTAACCATTGATATTTGGTATCCATTATGGTAATTACTTGGGAAAAAATTCAGATTGGTAATAAGCTGATTGTGTGTGCAAATGTGGCTTATTTTTAAAATTCCAGAAATGGGTTTTTAAAAATGTTTTTTATGTAAAGTTATGTGTTTTTAATCACAAGGAGTCAACATATTCACAACATAAAGTATATTTTTAAAAAAATCCAGTTGTGATTATTACGCTGTATTAATAAAATGAGGCTAATTTAGACATCTCTTAAATTGTATATCACATGTCATGCAAAGTGAAACTTGAAAACTAAACATGAATTTTTTAGAAAATGGATTTTCCTTACAATTAAGCTTCCATGTATCAGGCATTGAATTTATTAAACAGTACATTGAGAGAACAAATGCTTTTCAGAAGATAATTTAGAAAAATTTATTAGAAGTCAATTAAATTAAGGGATATTTTTAAATTATTTAGAACTCGAGGATTACTTTGACATTTTACTACTGATAGAGTTTAAGAAATAAAGAATAAAAAGATCCATTGTATTGTCATGTACCTTAAAGCATTTAACATAAAGGTAATTTAGCATATTGAATTCTTTCACTCATTGAAGAGTTGTATTTAAGACTCTGATACCAGATACTCCATCTTTAATTCATCTGCCATTTCAGTTTATTCTTATATGCACAGTTGTTAATGTAGTAAGTATAATTAATCTTAAGGATTTATATCATTAAAATATCTCAAATTACTATAGTTTCTTAAAGTACATTATTTGATTATGTTTAAATAAGCATTTTTTAATTATTTAAGCCTTGAACACAGAAGCAGGGAGTCACATAACTGTCCTGAGGTATGTTAATAGTTTTCCAATTTAATAATACATGCTTGTATTTATATACCTTTATTCAGCATTTAGATTTAATACCAGTCAGTGTACTGCAAATTAAACTAATAATGTTGTGAATGGCTCTTCATTTATATTATTTTTCTCAGTTTGTTTTAATGGAAAATTGGCCTGTTTGGTATTTATAAATATTTATTCATATAATTCCTACTCTTTTACATTGCAGTTCTGTTTAGGTAACCCATTTAAAACTTTGGGCTCCGTATTTATAAATATTCAAGGTAATTAATGCCTCATCGTGCACTCCTTCCAGTTTTCCTTCACTCTTGTATTTATTTTTGCTGGTGCCTCAAGTTAGGATTCCATGATAATGAATTTTTCAGACTCTTGTCAGCTTTATACCAGAAACAGCTGTAGTTCAACAAAATCCCTACCCTAATTCTAGCCAAATTGAGAGATTAAAGCTGACAGAAAAAAGTTAAAATATCTTTATTACTGATAGAGGAGAAATTGAATGATGAAGCTTAGTGTAGAAACAAATGAGTTTGCAGAAGAAATCCAGAGTTAGATAGATTTACCCACCAGTCACAGCACTGCTGGACCAGGAAAGATCTCATTGAGAGCAGCTCAGTTCCAAGATGGGAAAAGAGAAAGTTGAGCCCACTATGCATGATGCAATTTTCTCAAATTTGTAATCAGATAAATTGCTGTGCCTCCCTTGGGTCAGAGAGAGGCAGAAAGTTAAACTGAATTCCCTTCATTTGGAAAGAAACATTTGCCTCATATTTTTCACTTGCTATTTTCATTTTATATTTATTGCTATCCTTCATTTACCAAGCACTTTGCTAAGAATTTTTAAAATCTGTTCTCTCACTTATAGGTAATTAAGATTAAGTGAGCTTCAGTCAAAATTTGGCGCTTTGAAATTTAGGTAATTTGAGGAAAATAAAAAATTATTGTAACAGCATTATGCAAGATTGGTTAGAAGGAAATACTCATTTAGCATCATAATAAATATATGGATGTTTCTTACACAGCTTGTATATTTTCCCTGTGTTTTTATTTTCTTTATGATATCATTTGGTTTCTATGAATCTGCATCATAGAATGTCTCAATTAGATCTCATTCATTAAATAGTGAAGTAAAACACTGGGAAGTGTGTTACCTGTAGAACACTGGGAAATTTGGAAAAATAGTTAAGTCAGGGCCAACAAATTGTAACTGGCATTTATATAGAGGCATGCCCTATACTTGTAGATTTCAAGGATTTATTTCTCTTATGTTCATTCACTTCTAGAAGACTACTTAATACTTAAAATAGCCTGACTGATCTATTTTTTATATTATGTCAGTTTCCTCTGATGTAATATTTGCTGGTAGTAACAGTATTAAACACAGTATAGAGAATAGTTTATCACTGTGAAAACTAACTCTTAACTGTCTGTATCATGGATAAATCTACATGTTTAATTTCCTAAAATTAGTGGAGAAAATAAGTATAATTTGCTCTTTGAGGGTTGATGGGATGATTATCTGACTGTATTATTATGGGTGTATCTTTGTGTGAGACCATTACAAAGTAGACGACTAGTCATTTTAACTTGGTTTAGAGGATAAATGTGCCATAGGAGGAAAAGGTAGAATAGTCAGCACAGTAATTGTTTCTCATACATTTTATTACGATCTATTATGTAAGAGTATGTTAGTTGCAATTATTAAGTTTAAGCAAAAGTGATATGAACCCTACCTTCTGAAATATATTTGTTGGGCCTCCCTGGTGGCCCAAGGGTTTAAGCACCTCACTATGAAGCAATTTGCAGCCTCTGCAGCACTAATTCAATCCCCTGCTGGCCAGGGAGCAACCCACATGGTGCAGTAGACCTCCCCTGACTTGCCTGCTGCTCCCCTCAGCAGTGTACTTTGGTCAGTCTGCCTGTTCTGTTCCCTGCTCTGCTGTCTCTGGTGAATCCTCTCCCCTCCCCCCCCCCCCCCCGTATCTCTGGCCTGTACCCCAGCTCTTGTATGCATAAATAAATAAATCTTTTAAAAAAATAAAATAAGGGCCTCCCCTGGTGGCGCAGGCGGTTGAACGCAGCGCTGTGAGGCTGTCCGCAGCCTCTGCAGCTCTGGTTCGATCCTGGACGGCCGGCGAGGGTCCCACATGGCGCAGCAGACCTCTCCTGTGGTGGCCGCAGCTCCCCTCAGCAGTGTATTTCATCAGTCTGCCTGTTCTGCTCCCTGCTCTGTCTCTGGTGAATCCTCTCACCCTCCCGTGCATCTGGCCTATACCCCTGTTCTTGTGTAAATGAATAAATAAATCTTAAAATAAATAAATAAAATATATTTGTTGATTTGCTTTAAATGTGAACTATAATGCCATTTCCCCTTTTTACATTATCAGGTGACTGTAATCAACAAGACACTGAAGTCAGATAAGAATACATCTTACTCATGCTCATTCAAGGATTGTACTGAAAAAGAGCTTGTGCCAGTTTTATGCCCTTACTGTGAGAAGAATTTTTGCTTGAGGTGATCACTTGAGACTATTCAAACTCTATATATTTGTTTAAGCTATATGCAAATAAATGGGCTATTGTCATTTTTCTGTTCGCAGACACCGTCATCAGTCAGATCATGAATGTGAAAAACTGGAAATCCCTAAACCTCGAATGGTTGCCACTCAGAAACTTGTCAAAGACATTATTGGTAAGTATCATATTTTTTTTTTTTTACTGCTGTATTCTGTGTTAGTTCCAGAATTCCTGCTTTATATGTCAACTTGTTAGTTGATACATCTTTAACAGCCCCAGTGGTTGTAATTTGCCATAGATTTTAATGACATTCTTGTGGCAGCTTTTGGTCTCCCTATCAGTGAAAATTTGGAAAGTCTATGGAAGTACCCTATTAGGTGTTCCCTTTACTGAGCCACTTGGATCAGATGGTTTACCATCTTGGCTGGAAATGATATTTATGAGACTGAGGTAATGGTTTGTATTCTCTAAAGACTAAATTTAAGCCTGCTCTTGATAATCTGAAGTACCAGAAAATAATGTGTCTGTGACCTAGACCAGTCTTTCTGCTAACACATTAATTCATGAGAATTTTCATTCTGTGTTAAGGGCAGTCCATTTATTAAAATCTTGTATAACCAGATCTTAAAGTTCTCTATAGAAGTATTAATGATTACTTGGGATAGATAGATTTAATTTGGAAAGAAACACAAAGTTTTTTGATGTGCCAATTGCTTAGATTGACTCAATGATTTTCATTTTGTTAATAAAATTATCTACAAAATGAATGGCCTGTATATATCTCTATTGTATGTAGTTATGTACAGTTCAGGGTCATAATAATAATAATAAAACTCTGGAAAATGTGATGTAAAAGTCCTTATACTTATTTCTTAGATTCCAAGACAGGAGAAACTGCAAGTAAACGACGAAAAGGTGCAAAAAATAGCGAAACCGCTGCAAAGGTAGCATTGATGAAATTAAAGATGCATGCTGATGGAGATAAATCATTGCCACAGGTTGGTCTTAGAGATTTTGAGAAACAAAAAAGTTCCAAATGTAATTGAAGCCCCTTTTTACTCCCATCAAGGAACAACTAACCTGAACCTGATTGTTATTACTAATGTTACAAGCTATATGTTTGCATAAATACTACATAGTTTTGTGAGTTTTATAATTTTATAGAAATGTTAGTAAACCATATGTACCCTTCTTCAACAAATTTTTTTTAACTTGCCATTATGCTTTTAACATCTGTGCTGATAAGATTTAGTTCATTCATTTTGGTAACTGCATATATTTTCACTTTTTTAAACAGATTTTTGCTATTACACAGTGTTTGACAGCGAAAATCCTTATGGATATATTGGAATGTTTCTCTAGTTTAAAACTGCATATTATCAATTTTGTGTTATATATAAAACTATACAACAAATTGGTATACACACATTTACATACATACATACACACAACATACCTTAACACAATTTTAGTACTATGTAAACTTAAACTGTGTGGAATATACTTTGAGATTTTTTACTGTATTTTATTTCATTTTAAAGACTTGGTCTTATGACTCTTTGAAGGGTTAAACCCCATCAGATTGAAAAATGCTACTCTTGGAAATACATCTTGAAATAGAAAAGCTAGGTCACAGGTTTTGCTGTTTTGCAGCTTTACTAGGTGGTGTTCACTCTCTGTTATACTGATTTATCTCCATCTTGTATTGGCTGAGAGTTTTACTACTTCCTGCCAGCACTGAGAATTATTCATTGTTAACAGTCTGATAGGTGTGAAATGATATCTCACTGAGATTTAAAGTTGAATTTCCCTTGTGTTTAGTGAGGCAACTTTACATGTGTTTACTGGCTATTTGACTTTCTTCTATGAATTATTTTTTCATATCCTTTAGCTAGTTGGCACTTCTTTTTGTACATTTTATACACTTTTTGTATTCTTTCTATAAGTTTTAATATACTTTAATTTCTTAATGATTTCAGTAGGATTTGTACTTTTAAGAATAAGCTGTTTAACACATGCAATTTGCAGCAACATGGATGGCGCTGGAAGGGATCATGCTCAACAAAATAAGCCAGAAAGAAAAAGAAAAATACCGGATGGTCTCACTCATAGCGGGAATCTAGAAAACTTAAATAAGGGACCAGGAAAATGAATAACTATAAGAAAGTGAAAATCAAAATCAACAAACAACTATGAACCAGAGACACTCTATGGGGGGTCGGGGGGCGGGAAAGGAGGGCTTGGGGTAAAAATAAGGGGGTTGTAATTGTATGGGGAATATAAAAATAAAATTTAAATTAAAAAAAACAAAACCAAAAAAAAAACCTATGAATGAAAACCAGAAACCCTTGTCAAAAATCTATGCTTTGATTACTGTACTACATGATATAAGACAATAATTAATGTCTTCTTTCCTACGGTATATAATCTCATTCAAACTTGTGATTGGCAAGGAGTTGTCTCAGAGTGAAATCTGTCAGACTGTTTCTGAGTTTGACTCCTCACTCACTTTCATTATCTATTAAACTCTTGTCTAATTATCACCAAAAAAAAAAAAAAAGCTGTTTAAGGTATATTTTTATTTTGTTTTAATAATTTAAAATATCCCTTGTTTTTTTAACTCTTTTTTTCCACCTGAAATTTGATTGTAATTATGGTGCAGATAGAAATTTCCCCTAGTATGTATTACCTATTGTCATCACCTAATATATTGAAGAGTTCTTCCTTGTAATAATATCTCTATCATATACCAGATTGTTCTAAATGTGTGAAACTAGTTTAGGGTCGCAATTCATTCCCTTTGGTTGGTTTTCTCTCTGCATCAATAACAAACTGTCTGAATTACCATAGCTTTATGGACAAATCTCTCTACCTTATCCTTTGCTGAGGGTTGTCTGTTTTTCACATTTTATTCTTTTGTAAAAAATCGAGGCGTATTTTGTCCTCTTCTATAAAGTTGGCAAAATTTTAGGTCTTAAGCCTAGGCATTTGGGTGGATACCAGGGTTAGTATTCCCACTAAAAGCTCATCATTGAGGGTAATCTTCTGACCACAAGAAGAGAGGAATAGATATCACTAAAAAAAATTAAAAATAAAAAATAAAAAAAAGATGTGCTTCATGTGTATAATCTGTATTTTAACTTTCTATATTTACAGACGGAAAGAATATATTTTCAGGTTTACTTACCTAAAGGGAGCAAAGAGAAGAGCAAGCCAATGTTCTTTTGCCACCGATGGAGCATTGGAAAAGTTGTAGACTTTGCAGCAGCTGCAGCCAGTCTTAAAAATGATAATAACAAATTAACAGCTAAGGTAACAAATAATTGTAATTTTTCCCTAAAAATTTTAGGATTATACATGCAAACTATTTCTTTATTATAGTGTGATATATTTCTCTTTTAACAGAAATTAAGGTTATGTCATGTTACTTCAGGAGAAGCCTTACCCTTGGACCATGCTTTGGAAACTTGGATTGCTAAAGAGAATTGTCCATTATATAATGGTGGGAATATTATTTTGGAATATCTTAATGATGAAGAACAGTTTTTAAAAAATGTTGATTCTTATTTGGAATAATCAGAGATTGAATTCAAAGATTCAAGTCAAGAAATCATAAGGAAAATTCTATGTTATTTTCTTTTAATACAAATGCTGTATATATTTTTATTTTTAAAAGTTGCCATTTAACTTATTTTCATTGTTATAATTTACATTATCAGTTTTCTATTAAATTTAATTTGAATTTTGTGTTTCAAAGTTTGAGATAATTATTACCAGATTCTTGCATTTAACTAGCTTTTAATAAATTAGGCCGTAGTTACTGCAACAAATATGTATTTCTCATTTGGTTAATATCAACTGATGATTTGCTGTAACTATGCTACGATTCATCTTTACTCCAAGATCTAAGCTGAAGGCAGAACTCCCTTTGGTGACATTGCCATTTTTATAACAGTGGAAGAAAGAGATGGCTTCTAGAAAATGCATAACTCACTCTAGCTTTAAGAAGGTCACATGGGGCCTCCCCGGTGGCGCAGCGGTTGAGCGCTGGGTTGTGAAGCTGCCCGCAGCCTCTGCAGCGCTGGTTCGATCCCCGGCTGCTCCCCGGACACTGGAGGAGGGTCCCACATGGCGTGCAGACCTCTCCTGCCGCCCGCTGCTCCTCTCAGCAGTGTACTTCAGTCCTTCTGCCTGCTCTGCTCCCTGCTCTGGCTCTGGTGAATTCTCTCACCCTCCCGCACTTCTGACTGTACCCAGTGTTTGCATAAATAAATAAATAAATAAATAAATAAATCTTTAAAAAAAAAAAAAGAAGGTCACATGTCCAAGAGTAGCTTTATGGGGCTTACTTCCTGTGAGATGTAAATGGCTATCTCCTCAAAGATCACACATACCATTTACCTGAGTCAAGGCCATCCATCTGACCATTGTTGTCATTAGAGTCTTCGGGTACATCAGGGTTGTGATGGTGGACAACAAGGATAGGGATGTAGGGCTAGCCATCAGCAACCTTGGCTTACACTTCAAATTAGCCTCTGTTCAGTGGGGATAATCTCCCCACTTGACTTTCTTTTCTAGTCACCTTGGATCTTTCCTCATCATTATTTATCTACAGCATAATACATAAATTGATATGTGTACAGGAATCATATAAACTCAGAGATCATCTCATTCAGTCTTCTAAGTTTTGGGGTAAGGAGTCTCCATCCTAGTAATGGGGAAATGATTTTCTTGGTATCACTTCACTGCTTTGGGCCATATCTCTGATAATGACCCTCCTTCAGTTGATTCACCTTTTCTGCTTGTGCAAATATAGTACAAATGCGAAGGGAAAAAATGAGAAGATGAGATAGCTCAACTTTATTATAGTCTGTACGTGCCAAAGAATAATGCATGCCAAAAGTAATTACATTTTGCCAGTAACCCACATTAATGCTTCTTATTGATGTATACCATTTATACTCATCTGTAATCTACATAGAAAGAAAAGTATTTGTTATTTTGTCCCGTTTCTATTTTAATTGTCATGAACAAGTATAATGGGTTTAGATTTAATTAAAGGAATGAACTCACAATGTTTATTTCATCTCTAATTCTTCATATTATTTTCATGCAAAGAATGGAGATAACTTCCAACTTTTATGAAATGTTTATACATTCATTTATTAACATAGTTATTTGAGAATTTACTAAACATGGATTTTATTCTAATTTTGCCATGGTGGTTATGATAAAAAGATATATATTTATACTTATAACTATTGGGTAGTTGGAAAAGTCGATACGTATTCTATGTTTTTCAAGCAAAATATACGTCATGACTTTTCTGACAACCCAATATAATACAAGTTAGTGTGACAGATACCAAATAAAAAGTATAGCTATATTCCTATAGCTTTTGTATCAGAAACTATTAAGATCACAAGTAGAAATGTTTCTACTTATATATTATACAGCTATAGTTCCAGATACCCAAAATTTTAATACAAACTAATACTTTATCATCTGTCATAATTACTTGCACATAGTAGGTGATCCACACATGTATCATGAAATGATTAGAAGCTAAATATATGAGAAAAAAATAATACCGGTGGGGTTGGTAGACGGTGGTAAAGCTGGCAGAAATTGAGTTATATACAAGGAGGATAAAGAAGAGATCCTGTCAATAATTAAACAGAAAAAAGACCAAGCATCAAGGAGGGAAGAACTTATGACAGTAGGCAGACAGGTGGTAACTTAAGTCAAGTCCCAGATAGTGGAGCAATTTAGACTGGAAGGGCACCTATAGCATCCTCAGACACTGGATATTAGAGGCTTCCATATGAGTAGTCTTGTAGGTATGATAGTTTTTCTCTTTGAAAAGCTTTTCACTTTCAAATTACCGTGAAATCAGGCAACTTTCTATGACTTTGTTTTCAGGCTTTTGTTGAGTTTAATGAAGTCTTAGGTTTCACAATCCCCATTTAACCTAGTATTTTCTACCTGCTTCCAGGCAACTAGAATTAGAAGGAGAAAACCCACAAAGAGAAGAGAAAAAGTTTTATATTCAGATAAATAGTTGTAATAACACCAACACAATGGAGCTTTGCTTTAAATGTAACTAGGCAGTAAAATATGTGAATGATAGATTACTCAGATTTTGCCCAGATTTGTTTTATTTCCCAGTTTTCAGATAAGAAGGATGGAGAATTTGAAGAAGGGGAAAGGTTGTAGATAGAGGAGTCTGAGGGTGAAAAAATTTACGTTCATTAACATGTTTGACTTAGGCAGCATATATTGTGAATTAAATATTTGATTATAAAGATAGCATAGGTTTCATAAGCTTTTTGTTTTAATGTTTGTTTTGTTTTTGTCATTTTAAACAAATGAATTTCCCTGGAATTTAACTGAGTTTCCTATTGTCAAATTTGGTATAATGTATCTTATTTTTCTTAATGGGGTACACAGAAGTACAGTTTATGAGATATATAATCTTATATTTGAAAGATTAACCAAAATAAGCTAAATTTTTAAAACTGTAAAACTGTCTAATAAAAATTGCTTTCATAATTTTTGAGGAGCAAATATTATTATGATCTAAAATACTTAATACAAACTCTCACTGTTGGCATTTAACACAGATGATATGAGACATAAAGAATCTGCTAAAATGGTTATGTGTTCAGAGACTACTAGCCCTATAAACTCAATGGACAGTTGTACTGAGCTGGTTGTTTTCTTCTTTGGGAAGTATACAAGTACATGAATATGTGGGTTAAAGTCCTAAAAGCCTGGATTTTTCCTTATTTCTGGCAGGAATATGACCTAAATTTTGTCTGTTGAAAATGTCCTTGTCCCTAGCTATGAATAGGGAATATTGTTACAAGGAAGGAATAAGAGATTAGAATTAGTGCCAGTGGCCTTCCATTGCCTCACTGTGTCAGGACTGCCCAGCGGTAGCCACCACTTAACTAGGCTTTGTACTTTTGGCCTTGCTTCTACAATAGCTACATGCTTTCGCAAACTATTTGGTAACCGTTCAGGAAATGTTTTTTCTACTTAAGGGCACAAAAACAAGTTTCAGTTCTTGTATGACTTATATAATCACTCTTTAGAGTGGTAGGACAACTATTAGCAGTGTGTATCCATACACTGCAAGGGCAATTTATGGGCTCTGCATTTCCTGAGTAATGATAAGGACCCACCTACAAAGCTCCAGGAGGTCAGAGACCTCATCTGGTTAATTATTGTAGTATACCAATTCTTCGCTTAGTGTCCCAGCAAACATATGCAATAAATATGTATTGGATTTTGGACATGAATGCACTAACATGTAACAGCCACTATATGACTTCTCAAATCCTTTAGATTTTTGGATCCTGATTGCTTTTAGTGTAGATTTTCCTTAGGAAGGAAGAGAACTAAAAAATTATGACACTAAGTTTTTAAATTCAGATTAATAGGAGGTTGGATTTTCACTAGCAAAAATGAGGAAGTCAGGAGGAAAGAGGTAAGGTTTCTACTGTGGTAAATTGAACCTATGAAATGCTATGGCTTTCACATTTTCATAACTACAGGTTGAACAGGTTGTGTCACTCATTAGATAACTTTGTATTTGTTTGAAAAGCACAATGGTCCCTCCTACTGGACTTTGAGCTAGCTCAACTTTTACCTAACAACCTCAGATTATTACTGGAATACCTCTATGAAGAATATTCTCCAGTTTTCTTTAGAGATTTTGGCATATGTGATTGATTTAAGCTTCCGAGATGGCTGGAAAACTTTTTACTGCTCTGCTTTTGTTTTTTGTGAGTCTGGGAGAAGGAAGGAAATCATTTCTCCGTGTTCTGAATATAGAAAAGACAGAAATACTATTTTTCACAAAGACTGAAGAATCCGTCATCGTAAGGTCAACTTACAAAGATAAACAGCCCAACTCCAGCTATCTATCTGTGCAATTAGATGATCTGAATATGCTGCAAGTGGTAAATGTGACCAAGACCTTATCGGATGATACAAACTTTACAATAAATCTGGTGACAGATGAAGATGGAGAGACAAATTTGACTATTCAACTATGGGATTCTGAAGGTAGGCAAGAAAGACTCATTGAAGAAATAAAGAATATCAAAGTCAAAGTGCTCAAACAAAGAAAAGATAATCTTTTCCAGGCATCAATGCACATCAACAGGAATATCCTAATGCTTATTCTGCCTGTGGTACTGTTAAACAAATGTGCATTTGGTTGCAAGATTGAACTGCAGGTGTTTCAGACAGTTTTGAAGAGACCTTTGCCAGTAATTCTTGGGGCAGTTACACAGTTTCTTCTTATGCCATTTTTTGGATTTCTTTTGACTCAGATTTTGGCATTGCCTGAGGCACAAGCATTTGGATTTGTACTTACCTGTACATGCCCAGGAGGGGGTGGAGGCTATCTCTTTGCTCTGCTTCTAGAGGGAGATATCACTTTGGCCATTTTGATGACTTGCACATCAACATTGTTGGCCCTGATAATGATGCCTACCAATTCTTATATATATAGTAGGATGTTAGGGTTATCAGGTATATATTATATTCCTGTTTTTAAAATTATGTCAACACTTCTTTTCATTCTTTTCCCTATATCAATTGGAATAGTCATCAAACGTAGAATACCTGAAAAAGCAATCTTCCTGGAGAGAATAATTCGACCTCTGAGTTTTATTTTAATGTCTGTAGGCATTTATTTGACTTTTAGAATGGGACTAATGTTTGTAAAAACAGTTAACCTAGAGATGCTACTATTAGGTGCCTTAGTTCCTGCTTTGGGTCTGTTGTTTGGGTATTCCTTTGCTAAAATGTCTATGCTGCCTCTTCCTGTTTGTAAAACTGTTGCTATTGAAAGTGGTGTACTCAATAGTTTCTTAGCCTTTGCCATAATTCAGCTCTCTTTTTCACAATCTAAGGCAGCCTTGGCTTCTGTGGCTCCTTTTACAGTGGCTATGTGTTCAGGATGTGAAATGTTACTGATCCTTTTGGTCTACAAGGCTAAAAAAAAATGTATCTTTATCATAGAAGATAAAAGAAAAAAAATTCCTTTGGTCTAACAAAGCATTACTGAACTCCTACTTTGGGTAAGGGATTGTGAGAGATCAAATAATATCTAAAATGATGCCTGTTCTCATCCTACTTATGATCTTCTTTAAAACTTGACATTAAGGGGGAAATTTTATATATAAAACCATGTGTTAAATTCCCAAAGAGTAGAACAGACTATCCAAGAGTTCAGGGAGGATGATCACTTTTTATAAACATTTGAAAATACTTGATAGAGTTGAATTTGAATGTTTTGTTTCATTATGGTCTCTTAAATGGCAAAAGCCCCTGTGTTGGTTATGATATATCCTAAGTATTTATAGAAGGAATATCAAAATAATATTTATTAAATGCTTACATAGTTCATGAAGATGTGAATTCCGATTTGGTTTTCTTACTGGTTTCGTAGAATCAACTGGTCTTAAAATAAATGTAGCTTCTCTGGCCATAGCTGTGCTGCTGCTTATCTTCCCCATTTGCCCGTCAAGCACAGGGTTCCCTTTCTTCATCTTTCTTCCCTGTTTTTTATATTCAGGAAATTTCTTGTACTATCTTTTTTATCAGTCTCTTTTCCATTCTAATTACTATCACTTTTGTTCTGTGCCCTATTGCTTCTTCCCTAATCCTTTGTTAAACTGACTTTTGGCCTCCATGCACCCTCCAGTTTCTATCAGGTTAATTTTCTTACATTCTAAATTTCATCATGTATTTTCCATGCTATAAAACTTTTTTATCTTTTGAATAAAGTCTGTATACTTAATGAGGTATTTATTGTGCTCAATAGCTGACTTCACTCTAGCTTGCCAGTTTCATCTCTTCTCCCTCTTCTTTACAGATAGCCTTTACTCCAGCCAAACAGGATGACTTGATAGCTCATGAATATGACTTTGTTCTTGCAATACACCTCATCTGTCTAAATTTTAAACACTCTTACAGACCTGGCTTAAATATCACCCTTGTCGTGAAGCTTTTGCTATACCCTTTGCTACCTGGAAGCAAAAACTTCTCTAAATCCTCATCACAATTTTTTATACTCAGTACTTAGCCTTGACAGCTGTTTGTGTTCCTGTTTTGTCCTTTCTATTCTGCGTAAATTCTTGAGCGTTAGAATCAGAACCATAATATATAGACAATAATATAATATCACCAATATTCATTTTGATATTCCCCATCATGTCCACCTCATTTCCTATGTGCTTACTTAAATAAAGCTGAAGCACAGACTAGGACCTGAATGAATAATGTACATATTTTTATAGCACTTTTCAATTATCAATGATAATTTTTAGAATCTAGTTCCAACTTGCATTCTTCCCCAAAGAATGTGGGAATCAAGAATGGGAAAATGTTACTCTAAATAATCCTGTTCCCCCATTCCCTACCCCTGTAGTTACAGTACTTATTCTCCCTATAGCCCAGTTTCCTCATGTAAAAAAAAAAAATGGAGATAATAGTGTGAATTCGATCGGGCTATCATAGGATTAAGTGAGAGCATACATACAATGTACTTAGAAACGTCCCTGGGACATAGTACATGGTCAGTAAGTGTTAGCTGCTATCATTTTTTTTTAATCAAAATTTAAACTTTTGAATCTGATAGATCTGCCATTGATGTGAAATATCAATCTGATAACTCTATGGAGGGGAAAACATTTTTTGTATAGTGTTATTTACCATTTACACATAGTATTAGAATTTTTGTTTACTTTGCCAGCTGATAAAACAATCAAATTTCTTTTTTCTCTAATTTCACTAAATCTAGTATATGAATACCAAGATTTTTAAAAGATCTGGATTGGCATGGTGGTAGATAGCTGTTACTCGTTTTATAAAATTATAATTGCCTGCATGGAATATTTTGCTACTGACTTCTTTACATAGATATCTGTTTGGAAATTTATAGTATAATTAAGCTTGCACAAATTAAACTTACTAAGATTTTGACAAACATTTCACTTATTGGAATACAAGAAACTGCCTTTTTTTGCACCTTATCATTAACTTTGTGACCTGAGCAAAATACTTCTCTGTACTTCAGTTTCAAATCTGTACGATGAAGAGATTCAGCTGAGGCTTAAAATCTTACTCAACTGCCTAAGTCTCTGGTTCTGGTATAAACTCTAGGACCTAGCATGGTGATGGGGTAAGGAAGGAAGGTTCAGGTTGATGAGCATAACCACTTAGAGTTGCTGCTTTCTAATTAAGACAACAACTGAAATATAAACTTGAGGTTGGGGACTCCATATTCTTTGAATTCCCTACAGTTGTTAGTACAATGCCCTGAACAGAGTAGGTACTTAGGAACATTTATCAAATTACTCAGCAATACCTATAAAGGTCAAAATCATATACTCAAGTCAGACTATTTCTGTGTCCAGTTCCAGTGCTGTTACTAGTTGGGTGACATTGGTCAAGTTACTTAACCTCTCCATCTAAATACACGCGGGAAGTGGGGATAATGACAGTATCTGCTTCATGGTATTGTTATAAGGATTAAATCAGTTAATATGAGTAAGATCCTCACAACAATGAAGTATAGTAAACTCAACTGTCATTCTGTGCAGATTTGAATGATTTTACAACTTAAAAGTGGCAGCTGTGAAAGTGCATGAATGGAACTTGGAATATATTATTATTATATATTATTATATATTCCTACAGTAAATCCTCAATACCAATAAGTTCCTGAAAACTTGGACTGTAAGCTATAAGAAAACCAGGTCCTGGAAAAATGTTATTTCCTTCAACATCAGCTGGGATTCTTTTTTCCACATAAACATTTAAGGAAACAATATGGAATGAAACAACATTATTTGAGTACCTGCTATATGGTGGAATACTTTTAGATAGTAAAATTTTTAAATTGAATGAAAAAAAAATTTAAACTTTTCTAACTTGAATGAAAATGAAGTTACTCAAATTAAGAAGAAGCATAAAGCAGACAGTCTCATTGGTTGAGTTCATGTCAACTATTCTACACAGCTATGATTAGTTAGAAAAAGATCCAGAGGCAGAGGGGTAAGCTATTTTTTTTTAAGTTCCTTTTCAACACTTAAGAAAGATGATTCTAATGAAGGGATTAGAGCAGGGTATCCCAAAATATGCCACCTTGGCATGTGGATTATTTTGAGTCCAAGGCAATCAAGACACAAGAGGCTAAAGAAAAACTTACCTCTCACTTAACTACCTGAAGAATTTAGATATGGGACTAGGGCTAGAAAAGACAGTGATTAAAAGAAACAACTTTTTATCTGAATGACCTATCTATATATAGGGTAACAGCTAATTGCCAAACATCTACTCCTTACCTTCCCATGAATTACTCTCCTCCCCTTTTAAAGCCCTATGCTCCTAATCCACTCCTTAGTTAAAGATGGTATATAATCCTGTTCCTTTTCTGCTTGTATTTGGAACTCATCTTTTAGGTCCCCATATGGACAAAATTAATTTTTTTTTCTCCTGTAAATGTCATATGTCAATTTTATTATTAACTCACCAAAGAATCTAGGAGAGTAGAAGGAAGCTTCTTCCTCCTCTATACTATACCTTGTCCCAAGAATAAAAATTCTATCTGCAATTCCAATCTATTATATCAAAACAAAATCTTGTTAGGTATTCTGAGATTCTTGCCCTGAAAGAATCTCTGCACATTGTATATGTAAATTTTTACCATTTATAACCAAAGTTCATTAAGCAACCATTAATTAAGAAAGTCTTCATATGTGGGTTCTGGATTTTTTTTTTTTTTTAGTGAGTTACCATTTAAAAGAAGCCATCTCCAGAGACTAAGAGACCCCAAATCTCAAGATAACCAGACTTGCTACCTAAGGAATCACCATGGTTTTCCCTCTTTATTATGCAAATACAGGACAATTGACCACTTTGGGAATTGATGACCTGGCAACTTTGTGTTTTGACAAAAGCCACCATCCTTCTCCAGAATCTCTTCCCTATTCACTCTGGTGCCTGGGGAAGTGTTAAGGGCATTGTATCTTACCTCCACTTTGAGGTTCTGCATAATTAGAATGACTCATACATAGAACTTTAGCTGATAGCAAAGGGTATCAAAGTTTTCCCAAGAGATAACTAACCATTAGGGGAGTCTAGAAAATGACCTGGACATCATTCCAGAGAGCAGATTTTGTCCTGGTAACTGCCCCCTCCAGACCTGTCAACCACCATAGCATAACAGATAAACTTTGGGATTGGAAAAAAGGCTATAACTGTGACTCGCTTTAAAAATTATCCCATTGTGAAGCCAACAGCACTGTACCTGGTGCTGAGTCTCTCCAACCATCTGAACCACTCATAGCACTGGACAAAAATCTGGATTGTGTGTCACCAGTGTGCAACATTACCAAAACTGGTTTCAGCACTGGGACACCTTGACACTAGAAGATTCTTCATCTCACTTTCAGTCAGCATTTAGAAGTTGAATGACCTCTGGACTGGAAAGAAACCCTGAGTTACTTGAGGTAGGGCATAAGGCCCTTAGAAAAAGACATTGAACTTCCTTCTCATTTGGTTTTGTTTTGAAGGAAAATGATATTTGATCTCTTATTTCACATTGCTTACACGGATTTCAGCATCTTTGCCAAGTCAGTGGGATCATGTTCATTTAAATGAGGTTTAAAGAGGACTGATGGCATTTCTTCAAATGCCTGGAAAATTTTGTTTACAAATCAACACTTGTCATTGTACAGTTGGTAAGCTTTTTCTTTTAAGATGATCAGCAATGAAGAAACAAAAAGCTGATTTTCGAGGCTCTTTTAATCATGAAATATCATTTACCAGACACAAGCAGATGTTCACATCAGATTTAAGGCATTGTGCTTTAGAAGTTTGAAGACAAAGTTCTGATTCTGTGGTCTGAGAATTGACCCCACAATTCATGAACTCTTTTCATTTGCAACACGTTGGTGACAACATTGTGTCTTTTGATCAAACTAAGGGAAGCAATCACCAAAAAATCAAGAAACTGAATAACCCACTTTCCTAGTCCTACTGTGGCAAGCACAGCTTTATATCTGTACAATGGTTTTTGCATTCTAATAGTAAGTCTATATAACCATTATGTCAGACTTGTTATTTCAAGAAGAGGATGCACTCCAAGGACCGCATACTAATCCTCGTGTCTCATATAATACAACCTCGTGCCATAGATTCCCTGAGTGTGGTCTTGAGTCAGTGTGTCCACTCATTATTCTTGCTGCCTGACCTGAGGACAAATTTCTCTGAGCCTTAGTTTCTTTACACGTGTAATGAAACTAATCATGCCTTCCTAACAAAACGGTTGCAACCTTTAAGTAAAATAATACATATAAAAACAATTGCCCAAAGCAGGGTAAATGCTGGATAATTGGTAGCTGAATGAATTACTTAGAACAGGGAGAGTTGGTTCTGGCCATCATTTATCTACCTATTTATTTCAGCATAGGTTTGTTATAATATATAGTAAATAGCAAATAAAAGTTGCAAAATCAAAGTAGTGCCTGAGTAGTGCACCTCCAATTTGTTTGAGACCAGTGTGGAATAAATGAGAGAAAGGAAAACGGGAAAGCAGGAGGATAAGAAATGGGTGAGGAAAGGAATTTAAAATTTTACGGAAGAAAGTGAAGGCAGGAGAAAAGCATCCCAGACCTGAAAGAGGAGGCCAGAATCCGGCGGAGCAAGACCGGGCGGGACCGGGTAGGAGCCCCCTCCCGAGCACACCTCCGGGCGGCTTGGGGGCGGAGCCTCGAGGTAGTCACGCCCCGGTGGGCAGGTTCGTAGGGCGGGACTTCCTGTTGGACTATTTCTCCTCTCGCTCCGGAAGAACCGAGCCACGGATCCCCCCGATATCCTAGCGAACCTGACGCCTTCCAGCCCAAGGTGAGATCTGCATTCTGCAAGCCCACATCGGCCTTGGGGCGGGCTCGGCGTGTGCAGCGGGCCAGGGCAGCGCGGGGCGACCCCTCCCTATTCGCTGCCTGAGTGGGGTGGGCGCGGTCGGAGGTGGGGGGGTCGGTGCGCGCGGTAGGAAGTGGGGGAGTTGGTACCCAGGGACTGAGGCCGCGGCCGGGGCCCTTCCTTCCTGCGGGCGTAGCCTGATCCACCGCCGCTTAGTGACACCAGAAATAGTCTCCACTCTAGGTAGCGGTTTCGCCTACGCGATCTCACTGAACCCTTGTGACTACTTAAGTAAAATAATGACCCCCCTTTTCATTTTACTGATTCCGAATGTCAGGGAAACTTGGCCTCTTCCCAGAGTCGCGTATTGGGTAAATGATGGAGCAGCGCCCCTAATTCCCTGTTGTCCATAGTCGCACTGCTGGGGACAGGTGCCAGACGAAGGGGAAAGTGGCCTGGCTCCCACGCCCAGGAAGGCTGTGATCAAGACAGAAATCATTGGAAATGTTTCGGGTTTTTTTATGTCTTTGAGTAAATGAAGTTGAATAAAATAGGTCCCTTCCATCAAGAAATAAACACATATGGGTTGAGAAAATACGGCATGCGCACAGATCACCAAGATGTAAAGAAGGTACTCCTGAGTGTCCTAAGAATGAGGTACAAAGTTTTAATGACTTTTCCAGGGAAAAGTCCCATCCAGGGATATCCTGGCCTTCCCAATGCGTCTTCCCTTCTAAGGAATGTTAATCAGACTCAGGATTCAGTTTCTGCCTTCTTAGATGACTTAGAGGTTTATATCTGCAGGACATACCTCTTCTCTAAAGTCAGGATCATATATTCAACTACTTGTAGATTCCATCTCCTGTTGGTAGCACAAAGACCCCTCATTCTCTTTTGGTTCAACTCTTAAAGTAAACTTCATGTCTCCAAGTCCCAAACTTGACTCTTCTGTTGCTCCGTTTCAGTAAATGTCATCGATATCCATTCAGTTGCTGTAGTGGAAATCTGAGCAGCATTAAATTCTTCCTCTCTTTTGCATATCCCATATCCATTCTGTTACGAAGACCCCCAATAATACCTCCCAAAGTAAATATCTCTTCTCTTGATTTTCTCAACTTGTTTACCTAACACCCCCTTCCCATCCACCTCTTTCCCACATCTCCAAAAGCCCTTATTTCCTTTCATGTTCAAGCCAACCATCATGTCTCCTTTGGACTTCTATATCTAAAATCTAAATCTCCTTATTTATCTATGCTCGTAACTGATCTACCCACATTTACTCTACTCTCTGCTCTCCCCTCAACCCTCCAGTCTGTTCTTTTCTATAGCCACAGGATAATATTACTCCTCATGGCTCTCAAATTAAAATCTTAGATCTATGGCCTGTCACAGGATGATCCCTGGCATCGCCAGCCTCATCTCTCCTTGTTTCTCTTGATCCCTGAGCTGTTACAGATAAGTCTTGTAGTTACTCCTTCTTGTACCAGACAGGCATCCTGCAGTTGAGTTAATGCCTAATCATGCCCTTAAGAAAACCTGTATCCTAAGACCAGTTCAAAACTCCGGTTACATGCTTCTCATTACACTTTTCCTACTTAGCTTTTATTACATTTGTTATTTTGCAGTGTAGTCTGTGATTCTTGAATAGTTTATTCCTCCCACTAGAGAGTAAGTGTGAACCAAATCCCTGTTTTTCCTTACAGGTTGCAGTGTTTAGCATATAGTAGGTATTCAGCACATAGCTATCAAATGATTAAACAAGTGACTTCTGGGTGGGTAATCCCTAGAAGAAAGGGTCACTTTTGAAGAGTGCACCTTGAAGATATCAGTGCTGTTGAGAAGGTGGAGGTATGAGTGAATTGAGCAAGAAAGCAAACTTATTGTTGACAACATCAGTTAAAAATTTGTTAAATTTAGAAGAGAGGATTGGGAGTAAATTAGAATGAAAATAGAAGAGTTTGGAAACTATTCTTAAAGCACTTTAAGCAGTTCTGTAACTCAAAAAGGGGCTTCCTTATTACATGCTTTTAATGTTTATACCAGAAAAGGCATTAGCAGAAACAGCTCACTGTCTTTTGCCCTCACCTCAGTTATAAAGGAAACAAAATTAGGGTTACTTTATAAATGAATGATGTTACATTTTTCTAAGTCTGATAGCTTAAAAGACTGTACTAGGTATAGAGTTTCAGGGTACGATCAAGCTGGTGATTGAGTTATCTTAGTTTTCAGAAGTCAGAGGAAAGCTGAACAGTTCAGAACACAAAAATATGTTGTTTACCTTTCATAAATGCTGGGAAATAAATTTTTTTGTTACTTTTTTTAGTTCTGGAATTTTCTTTCCACAGAATGTGAGAGCAGTGGATTTTAAAATCAGAATTGTCTTCTGATTTCTACAACCTGTTTATATAACATTAGGCAGATTATTTATTTCTGAGGTCTAAGTTTTTCATCTTTACAGCCTTATTAAAAATTTACGAATGTATACCATGGCATGCCCTGACATTCAATTAGTTTACTAAATAATGTACTTATGTGTTCATTTTCTTTCCCTACAAAGCTACTTTTATTTCAATATTCCCATTATTTTTTCTCTTATTTTCACTTTTTTCTCCACCCAGTATACAACTTGTGTCCTTTCTTCTCCATTCCCAAATAAATGTTTTTTAAGATATATGATATGGGCACTTTGGGAGACACTTTTATACAGTATTTTTGTTATGAAAATATTTCTACCATGAAACTGAAGTGATTTAAGTTAAAAAGGTTTTTTAATGGATCTGTGAGTGAATCTTGAAAAGATTGAACTCTATAATCAGGAAGAGAGTGAATTACAAATGAAAGTATTTTGCTAATTGAGATGCTTTGTGTGAACTGTTGTATAATTAAGATTTTTAGAGTTCTGTAACTGTGTTGTCCCAATATGTGTTAAATCTATTCAGAAGATGGCCGATCCTTGGCAGGAATGCATGGATTATGCAGTCACCCTAGCAAGACAAGCTGGAGAGGTATGAACTGAAGTCTTGGCCACAACTGATGGTTGTGGTCACTGTGTGGTTATCTTGTTTAAAGAAATCATATTTTGATTAAAAATGCATTTTCATTTTACTGAACTCTTTAAATGGAGTGATTTAAAGAGTTTATGGTTGCTGCTGGCAACATGGCTGCTGACTTCCCTCAGATTAACCAATTTCATGTCATTAAACTTCTTGTGATGACAGGTGTTAATCTAAAATAGCATATGCGTTTGTGTCAAGAACTTCATAACTTCTTAAGGCTTATTTTGTAAACATTGTGATAAGAAGTTTTTAAGAATATCATTAAGACAGAGTTAATGTTCTAGACCATTTTTGTACTTCATCTTTAAGTTTGATTTAAAATTACGTACTTTTTTTTCTATTTGCTTACCAAAAAATATTTTTAGGTGGTTCGTGAAGCTCTAAAAAATGAAATGAATGTTATGATTAAAAGTTCTCCAGCTGATTTGGTAACTGCTACTGACCAAAAAGTTGAAAAAATGCTTATCTCTTCCATAAAGAAAAAGTATCCATCTCACAGGTATTTTTTATTTCAATTTCACCTGAAACCTAGGTTGGAGTCAATATACCAGACAGAAAGTTTAATTGTAGATACAGTAGAAATTGACTTTAGTTAACTTATGCTGAAAATAAATTTACTTAGGAAGTATTTGCTGGAACCGTAAGAGCCAGCCTCAGGCAGGAACCTGGGAGGAAAGGCAGAGCTAGACATTGGAACCAGTGGCTTCCAGTACCACTCGTTGACTCAATTCTTGACTTCATTGGCTTTGGATATATTTACCTCATTAGCTTACAAATCCTGGGCAGAAATATCTGTTTGTTGAACTCAGATTGTTTGCCCAAGCTGAAGCTGTCAGGGAGCAGCAAACAAGAATTATTTGTCTTTTTATTTTTATAGTAAGAAAAGTGTTTGAATGCTTGGAAGCCAACATTACAAATGTTTGCCATAGGCATGATTTAGAAATTTAATATCCTTCTCTATATTGCACACTTATTATTGTGAGGAAATGGTGGAAATTGTAAGGAGTTTGAGAGGAGCTACTAAAATTGGGGTGTTATTACAGAAACAGAAATACAGTAGAAGTAATGTCATCGTTTTAAAATTTTAGCACTGTCATTCTCTATTTCCTGGTCATACCAGTGACTATTCTGGTGTTTTAGCCATTGAGGAGGAAAAAAATTTATAGCTGTGAATAAATATGCTTCTCCTAAGAAAGCTAAGAGAAAAAGAGATAAAAGGTCCTGATAATGATTATTAGGGCAATTTGCTACTGAATAAAGGAAAAAAAAAAGGTAGGAATGGAAAGAAAAAAATCAACTCAGATTTACAGAATTTACAGAATTCATGTATTTTTTTTTTTCAGAAGTCGTGTATTTATTACAAAGTATGTTTTAGGGAGACGTGCAGACAGTAATTTTGGTGGGTGACTTGCTTTCTTAATGATATGTTATCTATTGCTGCTGAGCAAATTACCATAAAAATTTAGCAACTTTAAATAACAAATATTTTATTGTCTCAAAGTTTGCTAGGGTCAGGATTATGGGAGTATTTTAGTTGCATGGTTCTGGCTCAGATCTTATGAAATTATAGTCAAGCTGGCAGACAGGCCTCAGTTATCACTAGGTTCAACTGGAGCTGAAGAGTCTATTCATTTATGGATTGTTGGTGATTTGAGTTCCTCTGGGAGCATCTTTAGGAAGCTTCCCTCAGTCCCTAGCCATGCAGACCTCTCCACAGAGCTGCTGGCAACATGGCTGCTGACTTCCCTCAGATTAACAGAGGGAAGGAAAAGAGCAAATAAGATAGAAACCACAGAACCATTTTGTGAATAGTCCCCAAAAGTTAGATATTATTTCTACCATATTCGTTAGGTTGGCTAGAAATGAGTCACTAATTTCAGACTCACACTCAAGGCAGGAATCTGCCTCTTAAAAAGAGGAGTATGGCAGAATTTTTGGAGTTACAAATCCTATCTGCAATAAATGCCCTTTATAGAAGGTGTGTGTGTGTGTGTGTGTATGGGTGTACCTTGGTAATGTCTTCTAGAATTTTGAATTCTGGTATTTTTCACATGACTTTGCGCTATAGGAAATAAAACTTTCTCACTTTTATCAATACAAAGGAAAAAGGAACAGTAGAAATGTGTGGGGTACAAATTATTGTTATGTTTTAAAGTAGACTCTAGCTAAGGAAATGCTAAGGTTTGAAAATTATTGGAAGCACTGTAAAGAGTTCATCATTCTTGCTTTTAGTTTCATCGGTGAGGAATCGGTGGCAGCTGGGGAAAAAAGTCTCTTAACTGACAACCCCACATGGATCATTGACCCTATTGATGGGACAACTAACTTTGTACACAGGTATGTTTTAAAATTTTTAATGTGGTGAATACTGGTTATATATTGACTAATGGGGCCTTATAGTACACTGTTCAGGAATTGTTGGAGACATAAAAATGAAAGCAAGCAACATTGCTACTTTGAGAACAATTAAGGAACTAATGGGCCGATAGTGGAATGTTGTCTAATTATAATGAATTTGGTGTTCAGGAGATAAAACTGAGAAAAAGCCTAGGTTTCAGCATCAGTAGATTTGGGTTTGAATAGAGGTGCTTTTTTATAGGCTTTGTGAGCTTGGGCAAGTTCATCTTTCTAAGCATCAATTTGTTTTGACCTATAAAATGGCCATGTTAATAGTCCTGCCTATAGAATTGCTTGTTGGGACTCAATGAGTAATACATTTATATAAGAAGTTCATACAGGTATGACTGGCACAAAGTACATTTATATCTGAGTTTATTACCACTGAAAGAAAGCCTGATGGAATTGGCAATGAGAGTTAAAATGAGTAATCTAATCTGATTTGATGGGACTACACATAGATGTTATATTTGAAGTTGCATGTAGCTGTAAATATGTTTACTGATAAAGAATTGTTAAAATCTATAAAGCTAATATCTAGAATCTTTATGTGATATTGTTAACATGAAAAGATGCTCATGACATACTGTAACAGAAAATTACATTGCAGCATGTATAGTGTAATACCAGTTTTGTTAAAATGAAAACAATATTAAATATTGTAAATAGTTTTACTTTTCAGTAGTTATGTTGAACCCATTTTGCCTATTTTCCTCATTTTTATTATCTCCTGCATCTGAAATTATAATCTATGTGGTTAAACTGCCCTGTAGCCATAGTAATAATTGGCTAACAGTTTATTTTCCAGTTGTGAAGTTCTAAGTTTGATGTTAGAGTTGACAAGAACCTTTTCTTTTTATTTTTTTAAAGATTTATTTATTTATTTATACAAGCACTGGGTACAGTCAGAAGCGTGGGAGGGTGAGAGAATTCACCAGAGCCAGAGCAGGGAGCAGAGCAGGCAGAAGGACCGAAGTACACTGCTGAGGGGAGCAGCGGGCGGCAGGAGAGGTCTGCGCGCCATGTGGGACCCTCCTCCGGTGGCCGGGGAGCAGCCAGAGATCGAACTGGCGCTGCAGAGGCTGCGGGCAGCTTTGCAACCCAGCGCTCAACCGCTGCGCCACCAGGGAGGCCCCAAACCTTTTTATTCTATACAATTCAATACCTGTCTTTGCCACCAGTCCAGGCTGTGGGAGAAATTACCAAAGAAAAGTCTTTTTAACCATGACCAATTGAATATTTTTGTAATAATTCTTATTGTTTGGGAAAAAAAAATTAACATTACTATATCCGTGGCTTTCGACATTCAAAAGATATAAAATGGCATGCAGTATAAAGTCCTGAGACCCTATTTTCAAAGGGGTGGGATTTCCCCACACAAATAAACAATACCAGATAGCAGATGGATGAATAATAAACAATACCAGATAGCAGATGGATGCCTAATTCTGTCACTGTCTTCCTGGAGATAGCATTAGATGCTACAGGTTGAGGGCTCTGTCCTATAAGAACCCCCTCTTATTCTCCTCCCCACCCCCCAAGCTTATTTGAGATGCTGGTCACAAGGCAAGGTTGTCACTGTGCTTATGATCTGCCTATAAATCAGAGGTTCTCACAGTCCCTTCTTTGAGTTAGATAAGTTCCTAGAGTGGCTCACAGAACCAAGAACATCTTACTTACTGCATTACTAGTTTACTGTAAAATGACAATAACCTTGGAACAACCAGATGGAAAATATGCAAAGGGCAAAGAGCTCTGTCCCAGCATACTGCTTTCCTCTAATCTCCATGTGTTGGTTAACCTGAAAACTCTTTGGAGCTCTATCCTTTAGGGTTTTTATGGAGGCTTTGTTACATTGATTGATTCTACCTCCAACCTCTACCCCCTCCCAGATAGGGTGTGTGGGGGTGTGGAGGTGCGAGATAAAGTGGTACTGAAAGTACCAACCCTCTAAATCATTTGGTTGGTTCCTCTAGCAACCAGCCCTCCTCAGAAGCTTTCAAGAAGACACCTATTAACATAACAAAAGATCCTTTTATAGCTCTCCTCACTTAGAACCTCATTGTCGGAATGAAGAATAGAGACCAAATACATATATTGGTTATAAATCACAATATCACAGTGACCTTTTGACTTTTCTCCCCTACTTTCTCAGGATTCATCTGTGGAGGTGACCATTATCAGTTTCTTTTGGTTCCTTTCAGAGTTGTATTATGCGAAGGGGAACAAAATAGGCCTCCCTCAAATGTGACAATTTGGCATGAGGATTGTTTTGAATTGAAGGTAATCAAGACCCAGCAGATTCAAGAAAAGATTGTACCTCTGCCTAAAAGAATTTAATTAGAGAGCCTGACCCAGAGACCAATGACCAGAGATAATTTTTTTATTTGCGTAAACTATACAGCAGGTCAACATCTAATACCAAACACCCCATCTTCTTGTCATCCTATGAAGTAACCTCCTTTCTTCCCTGAGAAACCCTAGGATCTAGCCCATTTCTTAACTCAAGATGGCATAGAAGCTTCAGTTGCCCAGCTGGCCCTTTTTGCCTCCATGTGGTATATATGATTAAGTTTAGTTTTAAAGATTTATTTATTTATTTATACAAGCACTGGGTACAGTCAAAAGTGCGGGAGGGTGAGATAATTCACCAGCGCCAGAGTGGAGAACAGAACAGGGAGACTGACAAAGTACACTGCAGAGAGGAGCAGCGGGCGGCAGGAGAGGTCTGTGCGCCATGTGGGACCCTCGCCTGGCAGCCGGGGATGGAACTGGCGCTGCAGAGGCTACAGGCAGCTTTGCAGCCCAGCGCTCAACCACTGCGCCACCAGGGAGGCCCCGGTGCTCTCTTGTTAATCTGTCTTGTGTCAACTTAATTTTTGGAACAAAGAACCTAAAAAGGAAAGGGGGAACAATTTTCTCTTGTACATATACCTGTAGAGTCATCCCGAGTGTGTATATAGTCTCCATTCTCCTCCCTTGTTCCCCTCCCTAATGTCCTGAGGGTTGCATGCTATACACATTGTTCTGGTAGATGAGAGATGAGACTATATGAAAAAATTTATAGACTATTATCTTATGAAATAGCATGTTTATTTAAGTTCTATCTTGGTAAATTTGTGTTTTTTTTTTTTTAAGATTTCCTTTTGTAGCTGTTTCGATTGGCTTTGTTGTAAATAAAAAGGTATGTTTAAATTTATGGTTGCTAAAATGTCTTGTGCTCATTTTCTGGAAAAGAATAAATGTGTCTCAAGCCATAGACCTGTTAAAATTATGATAATTTTTCCAGTGAAGATAATTTTGTTTTCTGAAAAGAATTATAAAGAAAAAAAACATACGAGTAACTAAAAAAGAATTCAGTACTTATCGTTATATATGTGTGATAGAGCCCTATGTGATAAGAATTGCTATGTGATAGGAATTGCTATGTGATAGGAATTCCTATGTGATAGGAATTGCTGTGTGATCTAAAATTCGTCATAAAAAAGGATTTGTGTCAGAAATGCTTAAATAGGTGTCAGTGCAGGGATATATTGAAAGACCAGGAAGAGTTGGGAATCAAAACAAAACTGGAAAAATGCAGAGTATATGTAAGAACCCAAATACTTGCTCTATCTAAAACCTAGTAATAAAATCTGTGACTATTGCTTGTCTTTGCCATTTGACTACTTGATTATCAAACAGTGAATGCTGTTTGCTAGTATATTACATATCTTCAAGGAACTTGTGATGTATTTGAGCGTCATATACTCAGAGGTAACAAATCTCTGAAAATAAAAACACAATTTAGTTTAAATTAAATCTTAGTCTCTGGAATACGTTAATCAGTGGGAACAACCAAAATAAATAAGTGAGCTTTACCATATAATCAGCCCTGGGCTATGTCTCCTGTTCTGCCTTTCAACTCCCAATTTAGTGCAAGTTAGGTGTGGTAATGGATAAATGTATTGTGTGGTGGAACTATGAAAAAAATACCAGGGAAACTACAAGAGATTATATATAACCAATTCTGCCAACAGTGGTTTGGGAAACTCTTAACAGAAAGGGTGTATCTTAGAATCTTAGAAACTGAAGGGTCTGCCAGAGAAAGAGGAAGAGGAAAGCACTTTAATCAGTAAAAACAATTTGGAGAAGAGCATGATGTGTGTGGGGAGTGGTGAGGTGTTCTTGAATGAAACCCTGAGAGTGGCAATGCTTAGGTAGCCGGAAACCAGCCAGGTTTTTAAGTGCTGAGACCCATAACTCCAGCAATGTAGAGACTATACCAGAGGTGTGGGTGATGAAAATGCCAAAATCAGAAAGTGTTTTCAATATAAAATTTGAAGGAGGAGACTTACCTGGGGAAGGAATGAGTGATCAAGTATGAGTGATTTTCACCTGGCTAATTGAGGTTTTTAGAAGACTTAGTTCTTAGCTGTGATGATGGGGTTGATAACCACAATTGTGGTGACAGCTGAATTTGTGGATAAGAAAGAACCAGAATGTAAGGATGTAGAGAGAAATGGAATAGAAGAATGAAAAGAAAACCTTGAGATGCACACCTTTTAAGAATTAATCAGAGAAGGAGGAACTAAGAAAAAATGACTCCAAGATTGGAGAACCGAAAGAGTACTACTCTCAGAAACATGGAGGATTGAGTGTTGAAGAGTTACCAGTAATGGTCAACAGTCTGCAGAGAAGGCATTTGGTCAGTAAGAGTTCACTGATGATCTCTTTGCGGGGAGTTTCAGAAGAATGTTATGATCAAGGTAGAAGCCAAGTTGTAATGGAACAGGAGACTAGGATATGCAGAGTCTAGGTTACTCTGGCAGTGAAGGAAAAAGGAGATGACATTTTAAAGGTTTAGAATGAGAGGGAAACATTTAGTGAGGAGGTACCAGAATTGAAATTCAAGAGAAGCAGGATCAGTTGATGGAACAATTTTTCAGAGAAGAATGGGAGGGTTGGAATCATAACACAGGAAGGACTCACCTTAGAAAACAGGAGAGACAGGTTTTCATCTGTGGCAGAAGGGAGAGAGGTCCAGGTGGGTGCCCTTACACGGATGGGTCGTAGTTAAGGAGTCAGTCTGATGACTTCTTTCCACTGCTGAAGTGTAAATTAGCATATTAGTTACTCCACAGTTTAGTCACTTGAAAGTATCAGTCAGTAAACTGGATTTCCTTGTTACTATCTTAGAAAATGGATTGATTTAATCATGAGAAATATTCATGTTTGGTGAAAGAAATTTGTTTTCCTTCTGCAGATGGAATTTGGAGTTGTATACAGTTGTGTGGAGGATAAGATGTATACTGGTCGGAAAGGGAAAGGTGCCTTTTGCAATGGTCAAAAACTACAGGTTTCACAACAACAAGGTAAGTTCAGTCTCAATTTTAGGCTCAGTTGGTCTGACATAGTTGTATTTTATTGCTTTTGATTGTCAACCTATGGTGTTTTCCAGTTGCTGATTCATAAATTGTTTATTTTCTCTTCAGTTTTTAATTTCAACCTCAGTTTTGAATGTGTTAGTGGAAACAGGAAGCAAGTGTAATTGAGCAAACACTTCAGACTCAGTGACTGACTAGGTCTAGGGGGCAGGAAAATGATTAATGGTTCCCTGCCTTCTTGAAGTTCATGATTTATTGTATTGCTGCTGCTTCTCAGATTTTGTCAAATTCCTCTAATCTGATGCCACTGCTGCCAGTTATGAGACAGTAAAACTGTTAGGGGTTCATGCTCTAAAAGGGGATCTTGCCATCCACACACACACAAAGGCAAATGAAGGAAGCAGATGCTTGTGGAAGATTTTTAATAGAATTGGTGTGCAGAGAGAGGCAGAGAGATAGAGAAGAAAGGATTTCAAATAGTAGTTTCCCACTAAAAGCCTCCAAATCATTTATCCCCTTATGGGCAAATATCCAGCTACATGGGTATGGCCCGAAAGTGGGGTGACTAAGATCTGAAAACTAGCTACAAGTGTAAGACACCTTCTGGAGGGGGAACCATACAGCAGGTCCCAGAAAGCTAGGACAGAAGAAAACACCCAAAATTCCAGATATACCACATAATCTACCATGAAGAGGCGCTGCCATTGTCTGTGCCAGGCCCACGAACAGCCTATCCATATGTTTCTCATTCATGTATCTCTTCTCCAGATATCTCTTTCAGGTGTCTCTGCATGTCTTTCCTCCATGTGTCTTTTCATTCCTCCTTCAGTCCACTTCCATTTTTATATCCACCATCACTCTTTCCCGTCTGCTTCCATTTAGGAAATCCAGTTCATGACATACTGAGAGTTGTATTTCAATGCATTTGTGATCTCTGCCTGGAGATGGGGGTGGAGTTTGATCAGAACATCATTCACTGGCTTGGAGTTTGCTCCTCACTATTCCTCTGATACAAACACTTAATTTGAGAGCTGATTTTTAATTCACTTTTTTTTATTGACCTCTTACACTGTAAAGATCGGAAGGTTTGTCCTTGTTTTTTTAAAAAAGATTTATTTTTTATTTATACAATAGCCGGGGTACAGGCCAGAGGTGCGGGAGGGTGAGAGAATTCACCAGAAACAGAGTGGGGAGCAGAACAGGCAGACTGACTGAAATACCCTGCTGAGGGGAGCAGCGGGCGAGACAGGAGAGGTCTGCCACGCCATGTGGGAATCTCCCTGGCCAGCCGGAATCAAACCCACGCTGCAGAGGCTGCGGACAGCTTCACAGCACTGCGCTCAATCCGCTGCGCCACCGGGGAGGCCCTATCCTTGTTTTTGAGACGTTAACATGTGAAGGAAAAAATGCATCTTAGAATTGAAGGAATATAACTTCCATAGAAATAACTCTTCCCTTCTAATAATTGTTCACTTCACATGATATTTATTATATGATTATTAGAAGAAATACAGTGGTTCTGAATATGTTCAGAACAAACTGATAAGCACACATCTCCACTGATGGGAGAGGGTGAATTGTGGGGTACACTAGAGAGTACTTAACAAGCCAAGAGTATTGAGTATATCATAAGCTTCAGTTACCATATTTCAGAGGGAATGGAAAGCATTGGATAATCTGGCACATTAATAAATGTGGGTTTAATAGGAGAGCTGCCACTTAATTTTAACTTAGTTTTATTTTAAATATATATTTAATATCTAAATTCCACTTTTTTAATATGTAAGGTATTTGCTTGCTTCCTCCTAGAGATATGAGGCAATCAGGTAAATTGCTTATCATCTATATTTTTAGGGAGATGAGCTAAGAAGATGCTTTTTTGGTTATATAAAAACGCTCAGGGATAATACATTTATTCATTTTAATATTTGAAATATTAAATGCAATGAGGATGAGGAATAAAAATGTTATTTTATTCTGAGTTACAACTGTCAATTTTATTAAACGCTAGTGATTACTTAAAATGTTTTCTTTTAGATATTACGAAATCACTCCTGGTGACAGAGTTCGGCTCTTCCAGAACACCAGAGACTATAAAAACTGTTCTTTCTAATATGGAAAAACTTCTTTGCATTCCCATTCATGGGTAAGCTATTTACATTTCTTCCCTACATGTCTAGATAATTGAACATTTTAGGCATTTTAAGGGATGAATTGTCCTTTAGAAATGAAGATTTTTTAAATAAATAGACATGGGACTGTTACCATAATACTAATTTTTTAATGTAATTTAAAAAAACTTTTATTTAAAAATAATTTCAAACTTAACAACCTGAGTTAATTTATTGTTAACATTTATCCTATTTATCATTCCCTCCCTCTCTTCCCTTCCTCCCTCCTCCTCCTTTCCCTCCCTCCCTCCAGTCTAGTGTCGGGCATTATATTTAGTTGTCATGTCTCTTTAACTTCCTTTAATCTGGAACATTTCCACAGCTTAAAAAATGACCCATTTCCTTTTCAAATTATTTCATAGAGGTATGCAAGGTAGACTCCTATAATGTATTTCCTTTTTCTCTCTATCAGTAGTTGTTCCCTACTTGTCACTTCTCATTTTGTACATTTGTGTTTTCTTCTTTTTACTTAAAATCTTGATTAAATTGCATAATAATTTGCTTTTTTTCCAGGATTTTGATAAATCAATCAGAGCCACTGTTCTCCTTTCTGTCTTATTTTCTTTCTTGTGCTTTCTTTCGGTTCATTTTGGTTTTCTTTTCTTGAGACAATTTATTTTTATTCTTTGGTTTTTATTGTTATAAGTATGTAATCTATGGATTTTTATCTGGTCATTGCTGTCAATGAATCCCATAAATTATGATAAGTAATATTTTTATTTTAATTACTTTTCAAAAATCTGTCATTTCTATTTGTGCTTCCTCTTTCTCTTAAATACTCCATGTTTCTTTAATAAAAGGGACATTCTCTAATATAACCATAACAGTTAAAAAATCAAATTAACATTGATGTATTACCTAATATAACTTTATTCAAATTTTGAATAAATTCTGATCCAAGATATACTAAAGTATAGGTCAATTATTTTGTATTGTGTGTCTTGATTTGTGTTTGTCTGTTTTTCTCATATTTAGATTTAGGTATGCATTTTTGTCAGGAATGCCATGAAATTATTGTGTTCTTCTCAGTGCCTGATAACAGGAGGCACATGAGACCCTCTTGGTTACATTAATTTTGAGCACTTGGCAGTGGTTGACCATTCCCCTCTGTTAATTATTATGTAATTTAAGGGGAGCCACTTTGACACTATGTAAATAGCAATCTTTTACCACTCCTTTTAGTATTTATTGATGATTCTTTGCTGAATTAGTTGTTTATATAATGGCTATCCAGTCCTTACCTATCAAAACTTCAGTTACCTTAGTCCATATATATTAGCTTATAGATCCAAAGAAGAGGTGCTTTGAGAAGGCAAACCTGAAATAATCTTCCTTGGAATGCATAGGTCTAAGTACAGCCCAGGGATGTTGTTACCCCTTTAGTCCCAGTACTGATATGCACACAACTTAAATGACGAATAGTTTTATTTCACCCCACTTCGAGACAACTTGTATTGTGGGGCTGTTGTCCCTGGGTTTAGACAAATAATATACATGCATAGTAGAAGATAGTAGAGGTGTAGCTTTTTTTTTAGTTTTTCCCCTCAAAATATTGTTTTGATATTTATCTTATTAAATGATTGCATTGTGAGGATCAGTTTTATCATTTATATAGTGCACCATGGTGATTAAATTTTATGTATTGTTATTTTAAAATTAATTATGCCCATTTTTCCACACTCATCCTCTAGATTGGCTCAAATTACTTCGTCAACATTTACAATAAACTGAAGTCAAGGAGGAAAACTTTCTTTGAAAAAACTGTTTTTTCCAATCTTAGTTTTAAATGTTTTTAGGATTCGAGGTGTTGGAACAGCAGCTATTAATATGTGCCTGGTGGCAACTGGAGCTGCAGATGCATATTATGAAATGGGAATTCACTGCTGGGATATGGCAGGAGCTGGCATTATTGTTACTGAAGCTGGTGGGGTACTAATGGATGTAACAGGTAAAATTATGAAACAGAAAATCTTTTTTTTTTTTTTTTACTCCACATTTCTCACTTTTTTCTTTAAATCTTTGATATATATATATATATATATGTTATACTTCAACTCTTAAAGCATATAAGCCATGTAATTTTCTGTAAAATCAAAATTACTAATGGAAGATAGAGGTTAAAAGCTAGTGGTCATATGGGATTAAGAATGGTAAATAACTAAACTTCTTCAAATGTGTCAGGAATTCTTGAGAAACCCTAGAAAAAGTCTAGATCACCAAATCTGTACCAAGAGCTCTTTGAATAGTGACCCAGGGTAGTTCATGTATTTTTTCTACCATTACTTTCTGCCTTGGGCCTAGAGAGGTTAAATACTTGCTTTGAATAGATGGTGATTTTTTTTCTTTTTCATAAGAGAGTTCTAGTTATTTTTTTTTTTTTTTCAGTCTTATTTTTCCTATATGTGTACTTCTAGTGAGTCCTGGACCTGGGACGTAACAGTGAGGGAAATCAGACATGGGGGACTGTCATGTCCAGCATGCAGTAAATCTTTATTGTCTTAGTGCTTATTATATACTATTTTAATTGCAGCAGGTGTATTATCAAAGCATACCATATAATGACAACACATATGAATGATTAGTCTACTTTCTTACTATTATCTATCTACTTCAGACAGTAGGGTGCCAGGTGGTTACTTCTCATACACATAATCTTATCGCCCCCTAGCTAGAGCTTGGGAAGTTCGCTCATTATTTTTGTTATTCTAAGATTGTGGAGACGTAGGAGCCTGAGTCCACACAGGTCACATTCTGGTGGGCACTCAATACCAGGTCCTGTCACTCAGAGGTTTTCCTCCGAGATGCATGTGTTTTCACATGCCTTTGGGACTCAGGTTAAGGCCCTTCTGTGCACTGCACAGGGTCTCTCCCAACACCTATATATTATTTTTATTGATCTATTGCCATACAACATGTTGATACTTTTATGATACACTGCAATGCCATAATAACTAATAACTTCTATAAAATAAATATCATAGTACTGGGATTAATTAAAATCTAGTCTCTTAACAAGTTTATTGTTTATAATAGAGTTTTGTGGTCTATAATCTGTCCTGTGTATCAGGGCACCTGGCCTTTTTATCTGCTACTGGCAAGTATGTATCCTTAATGTAGTAGAACTTTGATGTCTGTAGTCTGTACTGTATATCAAGTCACCAGAATTTATCTGCTATTTGCAAGTATGTATCCATAAACATCTCTGTCATTCTTCCACCCAACCTCTGATTCTTTTTTTTTAAATAAATTTTATTTTTATATTCCCCATACAATTGCAGTCCACTTATTTTGACCCCAATCCCTCCCCTCCCCACCCCCACCCCCATAGAGTGTCTCTGGTTCATAGTTTTTTGTTGATTTTGATTTTCACTTTCTTATAGTTATTCATTTTCCTGGTCCCTTATTTAAGTTTTCTAGATTCCTGCTATGAGTGAGACCATCCGGTATTTTTCTTTTTCTTTCTGGCTTATTTTGCTGAGCATGATCCCTTCCAGCGCCATCCATGTTGCTGCAGATTGCAAGTGTTTATCTTTTTTGAATGCTGAGTAATATTCCATGGTATATATGTACCACATCTTCTTGATCCAGTCATCTATTTTTGGGCATTTGGGCTGTTTCCAAAGCTTAGCTATTGTAAACAGTGCTGCTATAAACATAGGGGTGCAGGTGCTCTTTGGAATTGATGTTTCTGTGTCCTTTGGGTAAATACCTAGGAGTGGAATTGCTGGATCATATGGAAGCTCTGTGTTTAGTAGGTCCAGAAATCTCCACACAGCTCTCCATAGTCCAACCTCTGATTCTTTTTTTTTTTTTAGAGGCATGTTTTATTTATTTATTTATTTGTTTGTCTGCTTTGTCTATACATGCACTGGGCACAGTCAGCAGCGCGGGAGGGTGAGAGAATTCACCAGAGCCAGAGCGGGGAGCAGAGCAGGCAGAAGGACCGAAGTACACTGCTGAGGGGAGCAGCGGGCGGCAGGAGAGGTCTGCGCGCCATGTGGGACCCTCCTCCGGTGGCCGGGGAGCAGCCGGGGATCGAACCAGCGCCGCAGAGGCCGCGGGCAGCTTCGCAACCCAGCGCTCAACCGCTGCGCCACCGGGGAGGCCCCCAACCTCTGATTCTTAAAAGTAAAGGATAAATCTGGGTTTTAGGAATTCACTAGTGATGTGAGAAAAGCAACAAAATCAGGAAATGGAATGGAGATGGTATAAAATGTACTGGAGTCAAATTTCTTATCCACAGAGTCTCCCAAACTAGTATTTAGTAAAAACAGAGATGCTTAGAAACTCATCTTTGTATTGCCAAAGCCCAAATATTATGATTATGCGACAGAATAGATTTTTTAAAAAAGTTTACTGAAAGTATTAAAATGTTGTTGTTGGCCATGGTATGTATTGCTATACTAACTAGTTTTATAGAAATCATTTTTGTATAAGATATAACCATTTTCCTTATTTGATTTGATTCTAGGTGGATCATTTGATTTGATGTCACGAAGAATAATTGCTGCAAGTAGTAAAACAATAGCAGAAAGAATAGCCAAAGAAATTCAGATAATACCTTTACAAAGAGACGATGAAGATTAACTGCAGCAACCACACATATTTGACCATAGTTGTTTCTCCCAAGATTTGCTGACATACTTGATAGTGTTAAAAAATTTAGACATTTGTTCAGATATATAATATGGTTGGTTTAAATTGTCTTTAATGTTCAGCCTAAGATATTGCAACTTCTAAGTTTTAATGAGACTAGATATGTAAGAATAGACGAAATGTTTATATCACTGTTTAAAAAAATTGCATGTAAGAGTGTGCTTTGGGAAAAATACACGGGCAGTTCATGAGATAGGTGTCACATTAAATGAAATAATAGCAATTTAGAGTTTCTAAGTACATATGAACCTCTGAAATTTTGACTATTTGTGTACATAAGCATTTTAAATTAGAAAGCAAACTTTTTGAGAGAGGAAAAAAATTCTCTCAAGTTCCAAAAGCCATATTCAATTAAGTTTAAGACTATAATAAGTACTTCCTAAGCCAAGGGTTCTTTCTTTGTAGAGAGCCATATTTTGTTCATCTTTTTACAGGTAGCCCTTAGCACATTACCTGTCAAATATTAGACACTTCAAAAATAAGCATTGGAAAGAATATTTTGACGATAGCAATTCCTCCTTATAACAGATAATGAATTCACCATTCTGTATTTTTACTTTAAGTTTTAAAAATTATCTAGTTATCCTTTTTTCTATTTCACATTACCATGTCATTTCAATTACCATGCTGTCAGACTTTACTTATTTTCTGCAGTTAATATATTTTCTAAAACACTGCATTACAGTATTTGTTTGGATTTCTTTAAAGTTTCCATGTAAAAGAGAAGAAAAATTCATAAAAGCACTTTCATCAGATATCTGATATAATTAGATACAGCATAACATTTTACTAAGCTCAGTATTCATATTATGAAGATGTTTCTACTGATCTAATTGTACACAGATCCTGGCAAATATACTGTACTGTTAATATTGAACTTTCATTTCTTCCTAAACTCCTTATTTAACTTCACTGTCACTTTAAATGTTCTTTGATAGCCTTTGACTTATTAAACTCAAGAAAAATTGTTCTGGTTCATAGACATTTTTAAAATATTAATTTATTGCTTAGCCTTGTCTCTTGCCATGTGAACAGACTATCAAGTTTTGTTATGGTTTCATGGGAGCTTTGTATTTAATAAAATGAAAATGCTTCTACAAAGTTTTCAAGGTAGTTATTTTATTGTTAAATCTAATATATTAAATATTCAAGTACTAAGATTTGATTATTGTAGATAATGAATTTGTACTGTTGGGCACATGCAGTAAAAACATCTCATACAATTTCTTCTGGTATTTGCCTCCATCTTTTAAAAGAATAGATACATTCTGCTACATCTTTATTGACTTAATTCATTGTTTCTTGTTATTAACTTGCTTTATGGAAGATGAGGATTTTTGTATTCTTAACTTACTTCATGAATTGCTTTTACTTTCCATTCTTCTAATACAGAGACACCAATTTTTGGTAGTTAAATTTATATTCATTGTTTAACTTATGACTTTTATTTACTGGTTAGCTAACTAGTAATATATTACATTTCTTTTACTGTGCAGCTTTTTGTTCTTCCTGAAATTAACAAATTTTCTACAAGATCTTTATTTTCTATTTTTTAAACTATTCTCTTCTCTTAAACTATTTTCTTTTCCTACTGAAGATACTGGGACTCTTTTCCTTCCCTTCTATTTGGAACTGGTTACTGGCTAGATGTGCTGCATAGTAGTCCTGGAGGCTTCTCCTATGTCCATTCTTTTGTGTTCTGGATCTTTCAAGCTCTCCTTTTAGTAAAGCATCTCCCAGGTGCTTCCTATGAAAAGGTACTTGGATGACAAAATTTTGAGATCTCGCATGTCAGGAAACGTCTATTTCTTCATGCTTTGTTGGCAGTATGGTTAAGTGTAGAAATACCATTGAAAACCATTTTCCCTGAAAAATTTTGAAGCATCGCTGCACTCTCTTTTAGCTTTCAGTGTTGCTGATGAGAAGTCATTTCAGTTTTCAGTCCATTGATACTAATCTTCTCTCAAGGAGATTTTAGGATTTTCTATTTCTGGAATTTTCTGATTTCTCCATGATAAGCTTTGATTTGCCTTTTTAAAAAAAAAAATTAGGCTCATTATGACCTTTCATTCTGGAAAATCCTCAACTTGTCATCAGTGGTTTTTTTTTTCTTCTTCTTTCATAATTTCCTCTTTTCCTTATCCTCTGGATTTCCTTTGGAATTTCTATTATTCAGTTGTTGGACCATGTATATTCATCCTTTTACTTTCTCTAACATCTTTTTGCTTCTAAAGGATTTCTTTAACTATCTTCAAGTTCTTCTATCAACTCATTTAAAGTCTCAATAGAGTAATATAAAACATTTAGAACATCCAGTATTGCTTCTATCAGTACTCAAAGTGATACAGTTTTAGTGCTATCCCTATCAAGATCTCAGTGATGTTTTGGGGGAGGAGGGAAGGTGGGTGGGTTACCAACTTAGATGAAAATATAGAGCCATCTTAAGCAAAGGAGTAGGTTAGAAGACTATATGACCAGATATCAAGACTTGCTATAGTGCTAATATTTTCATTAAAACAGTGTTAGGGCTAGTGATACTAGCCCAAGAAAAAACAGACCAATGGAATAGTGCCCAGAAATAGACTCAAACACATAGAACTGTCCAGTGTATGAAAATGGTGCCACTGAAATGCAGCATTGCAAAAATGGTCTTTTTAATAAATTATGTGGAATCATTTGGATATCCATATTTTTAAAAATGGAAAAAAGAATTTTGATCCCATCACACCATTTTAAAAATCAGTTCCAGGTGAATCCAAAACCTAAATATGATAGCTAAAACAAAACTTCTAGAAAATAGCATGGACTCTCTTCCTGATCTTGTTAGACAAAGACATGGTAAACAGGGTACAAAAAAAAAGCACTAACAATAAAGATTCATTAGCTGGACTACATCAATATTAGGAACAGACTATGCCAGTGAGTTGGAGACCACAGTTTATGATACATCTGACAAGTTACTTCTAGAGTGTATAACTCCTACCTAGCAATAGAAGTAATCCAAATATAGACAAAACAGTTGAACACATATGCTACAAAATATATAAACTCTAAGTGAATGTAAAACTGCTCAATATCAGAAGTTAACCAAGAAATGCAAATTGTAACAATAATAATATGCCACCAGAACAGCTAAAGCAAAACAGAAACCCAGCACAAAAGCAAGCGAAATAAACCCCTGATAAATGCAAGGACTGATAAGATGGTGAAGCAGATGGCCGCTTATGTCACTCCATTGGTTTTGCTTTTTGAAGTCACAATTTACAGAAGCTAAATCTTTTCTGCCTTTAACTTATTTGACCATTCTTTCCCCTTTCAATTGTCCTCCGTTTTCAAATCATACTTTTAAAAGTCTGTCCATTTCTGTTTCTTTTGCTGACTTTTCTTCCTCTGTGCTGATACTGTCTCGTACATTGCTATCCTTGGTCTTCTCTCAAGTCATTCAGGAAACTTATGCATGCCCATGACTTCAGCTATCACTTCCATTCTGCTGACTCTTAAATCTCGACCTTGGGCAGGTATTTCCTTTCTGAGTTCTCAACCTGAATCTCCAGCTCCTTGCAAAACCTCCCTTTCTGAATGCCCTCTAAATTTATCAACTCAAACCATGTGTAACCAGCTAATTCTCTGCGCAGTCTTTTTTTTTTTTTTTTAAGATTATTTATTTATTTATGCAAACAATGGGTACAGTCAGAAGTGCAGGAGGGTGAGAGAATTCACCAGAGCCAGAGCAGGGAGCAGAACGGGCAGAAGGACCGAAGTACACTGCTGAGGGGAGCAGCGGGTGGCAGGAGAGGTCTGTACGCCATGTGGTACCCTCCTCCGGTGGCGGGGGGAGCAGCCGGGGATCGAACTGGTGCCGTAGAGGCTGCGGGCAGCTTTGCAACCCAGCGCTCAACCGCTGCGCCACTGGGGAGGCCCTCTGCGCAGTCTTTTTCTGCTGTTCCCTTGAATGTATTCCCTTTCTGCCCATCTCCCTTCCTTCTCAAATGAGGACTTGTTTGATACTTCCTTTCCCCTATTTCTCCACATCCACTTTGCCATAGTCTAAGTTCTTCCTGATGATGACCCCACTTAATATTCCATTAAATATTCCAGATGGCATTCCTTCTGCCCAGAATGGTCCATAGTAATAGTAGATTGTTGGTTTTTTTTTTTTTTTTAATAATTGGCAAAGATACTTCTAAGTCATGATTTCCCTTCCTTGGGATCTGCCCCAATCACACAGGACTGTGCCTGCTTTCACCATCTGTAGAAGATATGGCTCAGCCCACTGGTTAATTCAGAAAAGGGCAGCTGATTCAAGCGGACAAATGGTATCTGTTTGGGAACTGGGCATTTTGAACCCCATGATGGAGACTGAGGATAATGGGAATAACCTTCCCATTATGTAGCACTTGAGGTCAGCACTGGATAAGCATCACTTCTTGGAGTGGCCAGCCCTCAGGCTGAGCTGGACATCAGCAATCCCCTCTCACAAGACTGCCAGTTTAAGAGACACTTTGACACACTCAATATGTTCTCATTTCCAATATGCCATATATTGTAAGTTCATATCCCTTTGGTTGTTTATTCCCTTAAATCAAAATATTTTCCTGATTACTGTCATTAATATTTAGCATTTGTTGAACATAACATACAGTCATTATGTTTAGCACTTGACATTTGTGTTCATATTTAATCCTCATAATAACCCCAGGAGAGGTTATTACCATTTTACATAGGCACAAAGATGTTATTTAATTAGCCAATTTCCCTGCTCAAGGTGACACTACTAAGTGCAGTGATTCAGCTCGAGTCCACAGTCTAACCCACTAATTCCCCAATGGTCCTCTCCCTGGCTGCTTAGTAGACTCAACTGGGAAATTTTAAATGACATTGTTTGGGTCCCACCTGCATCTGATTTACTAGATTTGCAGTGTGGTCTGGCCATCTGTACTTTTTAAATTTTTTCAGGTGATTCCTTTGAGTAGCTAGCATTGATAATCATTTTGCTACATTGTATTGCTTCCCAGAAGTAACTCACCCATCTACCTCACAAACCTCAGTTTCAGGGATAGTATGTCTTTTTTTTTTCTTTTTCTTTTTTTTTTTTTTTGTGGGACTCTCGCCGGTGGCCGGGGATCAAACTGGCTGCAGAGGCTCTGGGCAGCCTCGCAACCCAGCACTCAACCGCTGCACCACCAGGGGAGGCCCAGGGATAATATGTCTTAAAAGTGAAACGTTGCTTTGAGTCATCCCTTTGTCACCTGGTGGGCCTGATTTGAAAATTATTTTACCAGCCTTTTTATTTCCACAAATTAACACTAGATGGCAAACTCCACATAGGGAATTATCTTTGTTAATGATTTTTTCATTTCTGAAGCATTTTAAATTTCCTTCAAATAACCTCAGTAGTTAATATTTAAGATTAATAATACAGTTTGAAAACAAGGGCAAGTTTTTCATAAATTGAACTCTTTATTGTATGCCAATTCATATTTCTTTAAGGAGAGGCATAAATATCCTGTATATATGCATGGCCTTGATTTTGGTTGTCTTCCAGTTTTAGCTTTAAAAGGGAGTTCATTAATCATGAACATATATAGAATGAAATATTTATCTTTTGTTATTTTTGAGCTACTTTTCCACCAGTATATTTCAATGTCCCTGTCAAATAATTGATCCATTAATAAAAATGTTTAACAAAGTCCTGCTTACCTTTTTGAGGAAACTTGTGGAATCTCCATTGCAAGGTAATGGTGACTGGATAGTAGTATATGCTCACGCTTCCCTTTGCTTAGGAACAGTGTTTGCTTGAAGAATGGAGATACAGAGAAAAGTATAGTAACATGATCGTTGACTGAGGATCTCACAACCAGCAAAGAATTTTCATTCCTGAGCTCTAAGTGGCCACAGGTGCTCTAGCCACCTCTGAGTTGGTGAAACCTGGCAACAAAGAGAGGATACATCTGTGGATCTTCTGGAGCTTTTCTAAGAAGCAATGTGGTTCTCCATTCTAAGTTTCTTCCACTACCTTAGGCTTTCAAGCGTTAAAGAATTAATATCCGTTATCTAACCTTAACATTTGATGAAAGATATGATCAGAGAGACTAAGAGATTCA